GGGGGGGGGGGGGGGGGGGTGGCGCCCCGCTATTGGAGGGGGCTGAAAATGTCTGGGCATACAAGTCTCTATTCTGAATAATTAGAGGTGAGTAAAAAAATCTACCAACTCGAGTCGGTTTGGTTCGATTTGGATTAGTTTGAACCAAAAAATCAATTTGATTCGTTCAATTTTAATATTAAAAAATCAGGTCTGGTTCGTTGCGGGTTAAACAACCAAACCTTCAATTAACTAACCCAACCCGTTAATACATATTTTTTTTATATTTTAAAATTCATATTTTTAAACTTAAAAATGAAATAATAAAAACAAAAATATAATTTTTATCAAATAATTTGTTTACTATCTACGCTTTTTCTACTCATTTTGATGTAATTATTTGCTGGTTACTATCGAATATATATGATGATTTTGGGAAAATCGATCATTTATTATTTATGCACTAAAAAAATTATACACATATGCAAATAAAATTTTTAGCACAAAATAGGTAGATAGAGTTTCTAACTCGAACAAATGTTCAAATTGATTAACCAAATCAAACCAACCCAAATTGATTTGGTTTGGTTTGATTCATTTCAATAGCTGAATTAGGTCGATTTGGGTTGAAATTTAACTAAACTGATCAAATTAGTTTCGATCTCGGATTGAGCTCAAAACCAACCCAATTCGAACTATGCACAAAACTATGAATAATGTTATTTGTAGTCATCCGTTACCATCAATTTACACTCATGTTTGGTTCAATTAAAAAGTTCATCAAAATTTAAGTCAAAATCAACAATTATTTTTAATTGCATGTTTTATGACACTCACAATTTTTTAATAATACATTTTATTAATTTTTATCACTAAATCAAATAGGTACCAAATGATAAGTCCGCTCAAATAGAGACCTAAAAGTTGCGTCATTGGAACTATGATTAGAATGATACACTTCAACAATTGACTTTGCATAGTTTGTTTTTTGAATTAATCTGTTTGTACAATGAGTTTGCACAACGTATTTGACAATGTGTAAAGTGTAAAAATCCTAAATATTGCATTCAAAAATCAAAGGACACGATGCTTACTAACTCACATATTGTCAAATTTATTGTCAAATTCATTGTACCTAGCATGATTGTTGTTTTTTACACAATATGGAATGGAACGACGCTTGTATTTTTGGCTGATCTTTTAATATATGAATTCAAGCCAATTCACCCAGTGGTAAACACTACAACCCTTCAAAATAAAATTTCCTTTGATTTCAATTAAAAACAAGAAATATTCTATGAGAAAATTCAAAATCTACTTCTTCATTGTTTCCAGTATTATTTAATTATGATGATTGTGTATTCTCCTCCTCAGCCACTCTGACATGAGGAGAAGTAGAAGAAAAAGGTTGAATATGAAGTATGAAAATCACTTCATATTTGAGTGCAAAAGTTGAGATTTTCAACACATTATGATAAGACTCACCTTTATGTAATAGTAACTATTTTCGAGAGACACTTGTAATCATACATTACGTCATTACATCTTATGCGCGAAGAATTTTTTCCCACTCTCCACCATTCCATATATAGGGATGATGATGGGGCGGGTATGAGATGAGTCAGTCATTCCCACTCCCGTTCTGTCAAACATTTTTATTATTTTATCTAATACTCATACTCGATTAAAGTGGAATGGGGCGGGACAGGTCCCCTATCCTATTTATTTTATTTTTTGCTTTATTTTTTTGTCTTTAGTTAGTAAATATTATTATTATGTTATCAATTTGTTAAAAACAACTTACGTTCTCTTTAAAAATGATGACGACTCTATTATTTTTGTTTGATAAAAACTTAAATTTGAAATTAACTTTAAACGGGACGGGGACTCTGTTTTTCGTACCCGTCTCATACCCACTTAAGGGCAATGACTCTTGCCCTGTATCCGTCCCATTTACTTGGTTAGGCGGGTAATATTAGTCTCATTTAGGATGGGCCCCACAAGTATTGGATCGAACGAGTTTTTTTGCTATCCCTACTCCATATATTCAAAGCCAACAGTAAAAACATGGCCACTTGAATTAGCAGGTTACCGAATGTGAGGCACGATTATAACTTCCCTTCCCACGAAGTTGTAGGCATTGATGATAAGCTTGCATGACCATCAACCATGTACCAGTAGCACAAACAACCATATTTTCCTATGGGTGGTCGAGGCATTCGGCCAACCTTTTAGAGTACTTGATGCAGGTTGATGGGCTCTACATTAGGAAGGGTACAACATCTAGTAACATACATAGGGCTCATCTGGTCCTTTTGATATTGAAAAGGACAACGATCGATACTTTAATCATCAAGTAAAGTACACATTGTAACAAAATTAACAATTTGCAATAGTACCATACACACATTGTAAGTTACTATCTAAAATATAACTTACTGTGTAACAAGAATACATGATTTACACAATTTTAAGTTGCAAATTAAAAAAACTTCATACAGTATAATATGATTTACCATTATTACAAACAAATTATATACACTACAATAGAATTAAAATAGAGCGTTAGTTCCAATCATTGTTAAAGGGAAAAATAAAAAATAAAATTACATGCACTGTAATTTGTCAAAAAAAATTATGTAAAGGCAAAAAATTACATGGGCTATAATTGCTCTCTAAGTGATGATTTATGTTGTAATTTCGAAACATTTAACAAAAAACAATATTTTTCAATTCAGCCTCCCGTTGTTCCCTATTTGTGTAAATTGATATAACCTTTAACTTGATTTTAGCCATATTTGAGCCTCTGAATAGATTTTTTCAGAAATAAATTTTAGTGGGAATTACAAAAAATTTTAAATTTATGTGCTAAATTTTTTTTTTTGAAAAAATGTTTGATAAAAAATGAGTTTAGAAAAAATTAAAACTTACAGAGTAGGCTCAAATTGGGCTTAGTCATCAAATTAAGCCCACTTCTGACCCTATTCTCCTTCTCGTTCTTTTTTATTTTCAATTATATAATATTTCATAAAATAATATTATACGTAAATTAAAAAAATTTCATTCTTTTTAACCACATATTTTTTAAACAAATGATACTTTAATTATTAAAATTTGAAAAGAATGGAGGCCAAACCGAGCCACATTCCAGACCAAAATGTATATTATATCCGTGTCGTAGGCCCACTCACGTATAAGTTATCAAAACCCTAACCTTCCTCCTCTACACTGGTTAAGCCGACACAGAGAGTGAGAACTCATATCAACACCACAAAAATGAAGTACAATACACGAGTCTCCTCCTCCAGGCGCAAGAACAGGAAGGCCCATTTCACGGCACCGTCGAGTGTCCGCCGTGTCTTGATGAGCGCTCCCCTATCCTCCGACCTCAGGACAAAGTACAATGTTCGCTCTATGCCGGTCCGCAAGGACGATGAAGTACAGGTTATCCGGGGCACATACAAGGGTCGCGAGGGCAAGGTGGTTCAGGTTTATAGAAAGAAGTGGGTCATCCATATAGAACGGATCACTCGTGAGAAGGTTAATGGGTCCACAGTCAATGTCGGCATCCATCCCTCTAAGGTAGTTATCAGCAAACTCCGCCTCGACAAGGACCGTAAGTCTCTTCTTGAGCGCAAAGCCAAGGGCCGAGCCGCTGCTGACAAGGATAAGGGCGCCAAGTTCACCGCCGAGGACATCATGCAGACCGTAGATTAATTAATTTAATCTTCGGTTTTATTGGTATTTTTACTCGATTTTTACAGTTGGGTTTAATTAATGCATGTCAAGGAGAGGAATTGGGTGAAGCTACTTCGTTTTTGGCTAAATTTTCGTACTAGGCGATCTCGGATTTTGATTATGCTTTCTTCTTTTTTCAGATGTTTTAATGAAATGCTTATAGCTATGGATATTAAATTTTGGGCTATGAATTTTTACTCTCATTGAATCATCTTTAATATATTTTTATCAGGAGATAAATGAGATTGAGTTTGTCTCTTAACTACGAGCTTGTTTGGGAGGTGTTTAAACTATAAAATGCTTTTTAGCCACATTTCATAGGACTCCCAACTATCACCCACTTTGTATCAACATATTCTATAGAACCAGCTGCTTAAATTATAATTTAAACACTTCGTAACAAGCACTATGTTGCATGGGAGATGGCTGCTGTCATCCATTTCCCAGCATGAAGCAAAAAAAAGGAGCAACTTACTCATGTCCATGAATGATGAACCTGCCTGTATGTCTTAATGTTAAGACACTAATCAAGAGTTGGCAGACGCTGTTAACTCTTTTGGCACTAGTCAGCGCCACAATATTAAAGGTTGTATATCTAGATCATTTTCAGAGCAGGCCCTGTTATGTGTTGTTTCATACATATAGTTGACCAGATTGGGTCCTTGTATGATTTCATTTTTCATTTTTTGATGGTTTTTCATGATGTTTGTTGACTACAAAGGGCTTGTTCCAACTTGCATTCCATAATTGCTTTATTTGTTACTTGGCACTGATGTGTTTTGTTTTTCTTTTCCTTAATTTATTTCCTGCTCTTTTCCTTAATTTATTTCCTGCCCTCCTCAATTTTGCGTTTAATTGGAGGTGAAGTAACTAAGGAATGTCAATAAGGATTCTAGGATAGAGGGCTACGATACGTTGTCAGGGTTGGAGAATATTGGCATAGAGATTTGAAAAGAGCACTGCAGGGTAGACAACTATGTCGGCAATTGTGATTCTCCGATCACGACAAGAGAAGATAAAAAAGAGGAAAAATAATTCTATTTCTTACTTGAATAGAATTTTACGATGGAGTATTACAAACTCTTACAAAAGACCTCTCAAAAACCTCTCTCTAATCTCTCTTTTTTCTCTCTTCTCTACACTATTTTTCTTCCTCTCAAGGGATTTTTCTTCTCTCTTTTGGGGTATAAAATTCCTTTTGTGACATTCCTTATTTATAGAGGAACTAGGCTATAAACCGTCCCAATTTTATGGCCAAAATTCTGTCATTTAGGTGCTTAATGGATAGTCAAAATTTGTGGGCTGCCTTCTTCATGAAGTAATTAAAATTGTGACTATGTTCATGCAATTAAGGAAGGTTCTAGTTGTCAACCAATCAAGAATTGTGGTTGGAGAATTTCATTTCAAATTGTCTTCTTGCATAGGTATTTCTTCTCCATTAAGCAATTGAAGTTGTGGCTTATTTTCAATTACTTCAAAAGGAAGAAACTGATTAAAAAACCAGTTGAAATTGCGGTTGGAATGCAGCTGGACTTATCAATTCCCACAGGCGGCGCCAAAGAGAAAAAAAGAGAGATTAGAGAGAGGTTTTTTAAAAGAGTTTGTAATATTCCATTGTAAAATTATGTTCAAGTAAGAAATAAAATTATTTTTCCTCTTTTTTATCTTCTCTTCTCGTGATCGGAGAATCACAACAAGTGATATCAGAGCGAGATTTATCAATTAGCCCTTGTAGTTTTTTGATACAACTTCGTTTTTTTATAAAGCTTTTGTAAGCTAAGATGTCAATAGAGGAATCTTCATCAGGAGCTATGATCAAGCTCACTGCTACTAATTACACACTTTGGAGGCCTCGGATGGAAGACCTCCTCAGTTGTAAGGATTTGTATGATCCTGTGGAAGCCAAAGGTGAAAACCCCAATCCTACCAAGGAGGCAGAGTGGAAGAAGCTAAATAGGAAAACTATCGGTCAAATTTGACTATGGATTGACCATCGTGTCTTTCACCATGTGGCATAGGAGACAGATGCATATGCCCTCTGGAAGATTCTAGAGGACATGTACCCAGCCAAGACCGCTCGAAACAAAGCTCTGTTTATAAGGCATTTGGTGAATCTGAAGTTAAAGAGTGGAACTTCAGTTGCTGAGCACATCAGTGAATTTCAGAGCTTGGTAAACCAATTGTCATCTGTGGAGATGTCGCTTGGGGATGAAATACAAGCCTTACTACCTTTAAGTTCTCTTCCTGATAGTTGGGAGACATTAGTAATATCTCTTAGCAACTCAACCCCCGATGGCAAACTTACCATGTCTATGGTCAAGGATGCCCTATTTAATGAAGAGGTCAGGAGAAAAGACGTAGACACGGACCAATCATATGCCCTTGTCACAGTGAACCGGGGAAGACAACAAGGAGGCATTCGAGGTAGGGGGAGAGGCAGAAGCAAAAGTAGGGGTAGATCCATAGATGGAAGGAAGCCTATTTACAAGTGCTACTATTGTGGTATGGAGGGCCACTTGAAGAAGAACTGCAAAAAATTGCTTTGAGAGCAAGGCCACAACAGTTCGCAGTCGAAAAATAAGGAAGGAGAGACACTAATCACTATTTCTAGGGAGGTGGCTATCTGCTCCATTCATGAGGAGACGTATTCATGTCTCAAACTAAGATATTGAGTGGATAATAGACACAGCAGCATCTTACCATGTCACTTAACGCAGAGATTTCTTTACAACATACAAAGCTGGCAACTTTGGTGCAGTGAAGATGTGAAATACCAGTTCTTCTAAGATCGTGGGAATTGGTGTTGTTTAGATACAAACGAACCTCGGGTGTAAAATAACCTTGAAGGATATTCGACATGTACCTGATCTTCGGCTAAATCTATTTTCAGAGATAACTCTTGACAAACAGGGCTATGTCAATCACTTTAGCAACGGCACATGGAAAATGATGAAAGGTTCCATGGTTGTCGCTCGAGGACATATATGTGGCACTTTATACAAGACTCATATGAAAATGCATATGGATAGCCTCGACGTAGTAGAACGTGAAGCTTCTCAAAATTTGTGGCACCAGAGACTTAAGTCACATGGGTGAGAGGGGATTGTCTACTTTGACAAAGAAGGAGCTAATCACAGTTGCCAAGAAAGTTGTGTTGGATCCTTGCAGTCACTGTCTATTTGGTAAGCAACATAGAGTCTCCTTCAATTTCTCTTCAACAAGACGATCAGAGTTACTCAGTCTGATGTACTTTGATATTTGTGGTCCCTTGGAGGTTGAATCGCTAGGCTGTAACAAATATTTTCTAACATTCATTGATGATGCTTCTCGAAAGTTGTGGGTATATTTCTTGAAGACAAAGGACCAAGTTTTGGATTACTTCAAATTGTTTCATGCCATGATAGAGCGTGAAACAGGAAAGAAGCTGAAGTGTCTCCGCACAGATAATGGAGTCAAGTACATGAGAAGACGGTACCACACACCCCACAGCATAATGGAGTCGCCGAGAGGATGAATCAGACGATCTTGGAAAAGGTCAGAAGCATGATAAGTATGGCTAAGCTGCCAAAGCCATTTTGGGGAGAAGCTGTTCGAACTGCCTGCTACCTGATCAACAGATCAACTGTTGAATTTTGAAATTCCGGAGAAAATATGGTCTGGTAAATATCCCTCCTACTCTCACTTGAGAGTATTTGGCTGTTTAGCCTTTGCACATGTATCCAAGGAGCTAAAACAAAAGCTAGATGCAAAGACTACTCCATACATCTTTATAGGCTATAGAGATGAGGAATTTGGATACAGATTATGGGACCCAAAGACAAAGAAGGTCATCAGAAGCAAGGACGTAGTGTTCCATGAAAACCAGACATTGAGAAGCCCACAATATCTCCTAATTCCAATTTTGGTGCCCAGAATATTGTTCCAGATCTAGCACCAACACAATTCACCATAGATAATGACGATATGCATGAGGAAATGTCGGAAGCAGAACAGGAGGATGAAGAAGAGGATATTGATCGGGAGAGTCACAATCCTCTTCATCAGAAATTGTCGGACAATCACATCAACCAGATGATGATGCACCTCCTGAGATCAACGATCCACAGGTAAGAAGATCTGAATGAGGACGGATTCCATCAACGAGATATCCAGAATCAGAGTACATTTTGCTTGCTGACGAAGGAGAGCCGGAGAGTTTTCAAAAAGCACAAACTCATGTGGACAAAGATAAGTGGATACAAGCAATGCAGGATGAGATGGAGTCACTGCAGAAGAATCAACATATGAGTTAGTTGAGCTTTCAAAGGGAAAGAAGACATTAAGGAATAAATGGGTTTTCAAACTCAAGAACGATGGCAGTGAAAAGGTGGTAAAACATAAAGCCTGTTTGGCTGTCAAAGGATTTCTTTAGAAGAAGGGAATTGACTTTGACGAGATTTTTTCACCTGCTGTAAAAATGGCTTCAATTCGAGTTATCCTTGAATTAGTAGCCAGTCTGAATCTAGAGCTTGAGCCGATGGATGTCAAAATAGCATTTCTTCATGGTGATTTATATGAAAAAATTTATATGGAGCAGCCATAAGGTTTTGAAGTTTCAGGAAAAGAAAACTTCGTTTGCAAGCTAAAGAAGAGCTTATATGGTCTTAAGCAAGCACCCAAGCAGTGGTACAAAAAGTTCGACTCTTTCATGGTGAGTCAAGGCTATAAAAGAACAGCTGCAAATCAATGCGTTTATATTCAACACTTTTTGGATGACGATTTTGTTGCTCTTCTGTTGTATGTAGACAACATGCTGATTGTCGGACAAGATGCAACAAAAATCAAGCAGCTGAAGAAGAAACTCTTCAAGTCCTTCGACATGAAGGACTTAGACCCAGCTTAATAGATTTTAGGAATGCACATAACTCGAGATAGGAAGAATAAAAGGTTGTGACTATCTCAAGAGAAGTATGTTGAATGAGTGATCAGGAGATTCAACATGCATAAAGCCAAACTGTCAGCATTCCACTGGCCAACCACTTCAAGTTGATCAAGAATTCATGCCCCTCATCCAAGAAAGAGATAGAGGAGATGTCATCGGTACCTTATTTTTCAGCAGTTGGAAGCCTGATGTATGTCATGGTATGCATAAGACAAGATATTGTTCATGCAGTGGGCATGGTGAGTCGTTTTCTCTCTAATCCTGGAAGAGAGCATTGGGAGACGGTCAAGTGGAT